ACAAAAATAAATTGCAAAAGAAGAGGGCCGAAAGGCGTGCATTTTTCACGCTCACAAATAACGTGTTTACCGATGGACACGACACGGACATACAATTGAGGAAGTGTTAACATTCGAACAATACATCGTACGTACCACACGATGCGGCGTTATCTGAAAAGAATTTATATGAGAAAGATCTCAAATCACACAGTCACAGTCGACGACAGTCACATCTTGACGATCGGACGCAATCCGAGACGACTTCGTTTTGAAGCACGTTTTGGGGAGAGCTTCCTTTTTTCACAACCGCACCAAGGCAAAGAAACAAACGCGACTGACCCGTTTCTCACCCCAACCCGGACAACTATTTTTGGAGATGACTGAGGATTCTACGCGGATTATCTCTCAGAGGGGGTAGAACAATGTTCGCAAAATCGCGTCGAGGGTCGTTCGACGTCCTTCACCTCCTTCGCTTCCCGTGAATGTCGAGCAGAAAAGTTTGAATGGCAGGCACTTACCAGCCTTCTTTCTCACAATGGAAGATAACACGAAAAGGGTACGCAGCACGCATAAAAAAAAATTAAGTGGAAACTTTCAAAAGGGGCGAGGAAACGTCGAATACAAAACCGCAAAAATGTAGGCAGAGAACCGCGCTGAGCGGGTCTTCACAGTCCCAGAGAGTGGCAGAAAATTTCTAGCTGATAGAGGGCGCGAGAGTCGCACCAGCCGCATCAGCATCAGCAACATGGCGCCGGCCTAGGAGCGTTTTTTGGAAAGGTGTATACCTCGGCCGGCTCTCGGCGCCCGTATGCTCGTTCCTTGGCGGCGTTCGTCGCGCCATCTCGTGTCTACCGTGCAAAACGGCGCCGTGTTGATTGCAGACCGGTGGCGTCGCTGCGTTTCCATAGGAGCTAAGCCTTTTTCTTTCTTTACTTTTTCCTCAGGTAAGTCCGCTCTTTGCAAATTTTACGAAAAAAATGCACCATGTGTGGGCAACGCTGCACAAAGTCGTAGCGCGATAGGTTAAGAAACCGAATTTTCCGGTCGATTTAAAGAGCCTACCGTCTCCTTGTTTCACCCGGTAGAATACTTGGGTAGTTTTGGGACTAGTTGGGACCGGAGCGGCTCGGCAACGGGAGCTCGTGAGGGCGCGTGTATTGACAGTTCGTGGCGGCGCTGTAGTCGAGTTATCCGGCTAGGGAGGCTGTAGTGAGGGTGGGCGCAACCAACGCGCAACTCAAAACCTGGAGAGCGTTTGCAATTTAATGGCGGCGCCTGAGGGAGAGGATTCGAGAAAGGATATGCGCCAGTGTTGCCTGCACGAGAGCAGTCGCCCGCTCTGTTGCAACTCTGTTGCTCCATGCGCCTTTCCTCCTCTCGCCTCCCATTGCAAGCAACGAGCGCCTTGGCGCAGCCTCTCTCGCTTCCTTCTCGCTCCGAGAATTGCAAACGTCGAGCGGAGAAAGCAAAGTTGCCAGACAAGCAGCAACGTCCAAGATGGCGGAATTTACCATTTTTCGCGTTAAAAAAATACTTAACCTATCGCAACAAAACTGGCGGCTATGGAAAAGTAATTATTTATACCTTGTGTAAATTATTCAAGCACCTTAATGGGCTTTTATGACCCGAGTTAGGAAAGAAAACGACCCTTTGCCCCATAGACTCCCAGCAAAATTTAGCAATTAAATGGCGTCCATGTCCCGTGATCGCCGATCTAGCAGTTGCACCCACCCTCACTTGAGCCTCCCTATATCCGGCTCGCGCAGCCCGCCTTTTTTTTTTCTTTTTGAGCGGTGCATGTAGCGAAAGCTAGGAGTGCGAGCTCATAGCGTTGGCAGCTGCCCTTGGTGCACAGGAGCTCGTGCCACCAAGATGTGCCCTAGAGCAAGGAGCTCGCGCTTGTAGCCTTTCTTGCGGTACAACACAAGGTGAAACAGAGTATTGGCGACGTGCGCGACCGAAAGCGTCGCTGTGGTCGGCCTTCCACTAGAGTGCCTTCATACACACGCGCGCTTTTGCTTGAGTGGTGACATCTCAGCCATTTTCTCGCCCAATCGTTTCTTCGTGCATTTTGAAGCGCGCCTAATCTGGTGTCACTCAGCTCGAGCGCGTAGCTTTGGCTAATGCATAGACGCCATTTTACCGCCCAAGTCAAGCACCGAGTGCGCGGGAGCGTCACGCGCTGGCACATTCAGGGCAACAATGGATGTCTTCACCCTTAAACAGACAGACATGTAGGCACCCTACCTTCCACGATTGGCCCGAAAGCTGACTATGACGTCGGAAAGGGTATATTACCTTCGACGGAAAGAAGAGGAATGAAAGAACTTTAATTTCGACGGTGTTGGCAGTGTTGCTTTGAGAGCGCAATGATTTCAAGCTTCCACCATGCTATTTACAAACACCATCGAACTTGTTGTTTGCAAGGTAATGACGTCACAAGGGGGAACCATAGGAGGGCGCCACCAAAACATCTCGCCGCTAATAGGGCACGTAAAAAAAAATCGGTATTTTCAAATCTTTTTTTTTTTTTTTTAATTTTTGCGGTAGGCAAAGGGTTAATGAAATGTTTGATGGGCCATGTTGCAATTGCAGCTTTAAAGGGAGCCATCATTAAAGGCCAACCTAATTTAAAAAGTTCACGAACAAACGAGCTTTGAGCGAAAGTAACAAGGCGTTCGTTTTTGCTGTGTTTGTCCGTCCATTTTCGTTTCTTCCTCAAGCTTAATTATCTTTACCAACCCGCCCGTTCTGTCCTGAGATATACACGTTTGCAAGTCCGGTCTCAGGGCGCCGCCATCTTCCTCAGTGGGGTGCGCTCTCGGGAGCGGCCATAATCCGATTACGACGCCTTAGCAAGGCTTCGTAATCGGATTATGACTGGTCCAAGCGCACCCCAGACAGGCAAGATGGCAGCGCCCTGAAGCCGGACTTGCAAACGTGTATTCATCGCTAAAATTTTGCCTTTCTTCACTTAATTAAAAAAACTGCGCGCTGAAAGCGCGAATGAGGTTGTGCTGATATTGATGCGTAGAAGAATGACGCAGTTGTTTCTGTCCCCTCGTCACTAACTCGACAGCGTTTCTCCGGTGGACTCGCCGGCGCCACACATCAAGACGACTAAGTTACTATTCTACGTATTATTTTCATAACGCGGTTTCTGAATCAAGCGAAGAAAGGCAAACTTTTACGATTAATTTTGCGAACCTCGTTGGCCTTTTCGCGAATTGTCGAAATTGTGTTTGCCTTTAATAATGACTCCTTTTAAAACTGCAATTGCACCATGGCCAATTAAGCCGGTTATAAACAAGTCAACTAACAAGTTAACTTGTTAGTTAACTTGAGTCTCTCGGATGGGTGGATAATTGCCTTGTAGTAAGTGGTAGCTTGCGCCACCTAGATTGGATGTTGCCAATGGAACAGAATTTCGAAATACTGCGCAAATAAAAAACTAATAATAATTGTAGTGCGTCCTGGTTTTATTAAATAATTGTTTGATCAAAACTATAGTTAAAAGATGTCCTAAACTTATGCAACTACATGCAATAATTTGTATGTGAAATTTAGTTGAGCAGTGACCGTGAACTGTGTATACTACCGCCATTTCATTCAATTACTTTTTTAAAAACGCAATCAAATTGAGGACTTATATATTACCTCTAACTTTGTATCCTTCGTCCTCAATAAGTCCTCGGAAGGACCTTTCTAGGATGATCCAACGACTGCCATTCTCAGGGTGTCCTGAGGACGTCTTGAAAACTGTGAGGACGTTTGTACCTTTCGAGGGCGTCCTGAGGATGTCGGGTGTTGTCTGGGAGATCTTGGTTCATTATTAAACATTGCAACGGTTATTCACCAATTCATTGTCCACCGAGCCCTACAGATATAACGAAAGGCGGCATCCACATATCTGCCACATCCTTTTTTTGTAAAATATGTAAAGTTCTGTAAAGAATAAAACAAAAACACCCTGAATGTCTGCGTGAACCAGATACGCCCCCTGTGGAACCATGGGTGTTTCCCTTCAGATACCCAGCTCAAGCGAGACTTACTTGATTGTCAGAAAGCAGCTCTCAGTTAAATGTATTGTTATGAGCGTGTAGGTTTCAGATGGTTTACCCTCAAGAGGATAATGCGCTGCATATTGTAACCACGTATGCGCTGTACATTGTAGCCATTATTTCAATGCCGTGCTGTAAACTATTACAACTTTTTCCTTGCCTGGTCTACGTGTGCTCATGTTTTCTGCTCAAAATGATGTGAAATAGTTTCTTGTTTTCTTTGAATCTTATAAAGCATTACTTGTTCAGCCCACATTGTCTCAGTTTTTGAACTTAAGTTAAATGTTAAATCGCGTGATAAAAATTGTCACGGCTTATAAGCCATTTCTTACAAGTGAACGTCGGGTGATTCTCGGATGGTCGTGGCAGCCACGAAGAAATAGAAGATTCTCACCCCTTTGCGACCGTCGCTTGGGTGGTTCGTCGCATAAATGGACACAAGAATGAGTGACAAGTGAAGCGAGCTGATTAAGGTCAAGAAAAAGAAGACGGGCAGAAAAGAAGACAGAGAAGTTAACCTGGGGTATTAAAAACATACTAAAACAATCTCGAACTTTAGTATGTGCCGTTTCGTTCCATTATAAAATAAGATAGAAAAAAAAAAAACAAAAAAAACTGCTTCCGAGTTTTAGATATCCCTTTCAAATATCTAATGGATCGGCATTTGCGACCAAGGAAATGGGCATTTCATTTAAAATGCTCACCATCCGACAAACCGAAACCGCTTCTTTAAGGGACAGAACGAGCGGGTTGGTATGGATAGTAAACTTGAGGAAGAAAACGAGAAAGGACGGACAAACACAAACTTCCAACTGGCAACAACATTTAATAACACCAAGAGTTTGCTTATATACAGGAAAAAAAAAAGGGGGGGATGAAAAGGGGGTGGAAAGGAGGAGCACTATGCCGTCAAGGGTGCGTCGTCGCTGTCGGGAACGTCGGGGGACTGAGAAATCTTATCTCTTTCCCCGAAAGGGCAATGGAGGGGGAGCCGATGTTGTCCTTGGATCGACACATGGCGAAGGCCTCCAGAATCTCCCGACCATACCTCGAGGGGTGACCCCCGATTCTTGTAGTAGAGGGAAGGACGGCCGAGCAGGAAGTACATTCCGATGCGTGTTTGGCGATCGGGTGGTGAATGACCTCTGAACCGTCGGAGACCGCTTTTTTAACTTCGTTCGCGTGCTCTCTCAGGCGGTCGTTTAAGCAGCGCCCCGTTTGGCCGATGTATCGGGCACCACAGGACATAGGTATTGAGTAAACACACTCTTTGCGGCAAGGAACGTAACAGGTTTTGTGGTTCTTTTGGCAAGGGGGCGCCGGTCCGGGGCTGTTGACTTTTTTGCAAATAGATGCCAATTTAAACTTACACGAGAAAACCACGTTGGTGTTGAAGCCCTGAGCTATTGATTTCAGTCGATGCGAAATGTTATGAATGTAGGGGATGCACGCGAAGCGGGACCTTGGAGGCGGCTTTTTGGATTGGGGCCCTGTGACAAGTCTTTTGATGGTAAGCTCGATCAAGTCGTTTGGGTAACCTGCCTTGAGAAGGCGGCCTATCTGATTGGACAGACTAGTTGCGGAAAGGTGGTGACACGACTTGGAATTAGCAGCAGCAATAAGGTTTCGGACAATACCAGTTTTTACGTTTTTTGAGTGCGAGCTGCTGAACGGCAGGACAGGCTTCGCAGACCTCTGCTGATTGGACCAGCAGATCCCGACACTGGTGGGGACCAATCTCAGATCAAGGAACTGTAATCCCTCAGATGAAGGGGTCTCTTTTGTGAACGTGAGCCCGAAGGAGTTCTTCTGGAAAACGCTTTCAATCGCTGCGGTATCTGAATTAGTGGAATGAATGATAAGATAATCATCTACGTAGCGATAAACCAAGGCTTCGGGAAATTCCTGCTCAAGGATTGATTGAACCTTTGTGTCAACGTGAAACATAAAGATTTCGCTTAGGATGGGCGCCAGGCACGACCCTATGCACACACCGGATTTTTGAAGGAATACTTTGCCCTCGTGTTCGACAAGGGTGGACTGAAGATACAGGCGAATCAACTCTAGAAATGCTGAGAGTGAGATGCCACAGGAATTTTGAAAATCTATAACGCCTCTTAAGTGTACAGCCTCGGATACGAACCCCAGAAGGGTTTTCACATTGAGACTATAATACAAATCTACTACATCAAGAGAGAACACTCCAACAGTTTCCGTACCGATATGCAAGTTATGTAACGTTGGGATAAGGTCCTCGGAATTCTTTAGTCGGAAAGGTTGAGGAAGGTCCAAGGTTTCGAGATGTTTTTGTAAAAACATCGCCAAGGGCTTCTGCCAGCACCCTGTTTCTGAAATAATGCTACGGAATGGCACTCCAGGCTTCTGTGTCTTGGCAGAAAAGAAAATGGATAGGTACTGATTAGCGGGAGCAAGAATGGCACTTTTTAGAGAAGGGAGGTTGGAGGAGTCGCAGAGCGCCTTCACCTGAGACCTGAGGGAACCGGATGGCCTCGACTTGAGAGGAAGAAAGTTCTTTTTCAGCGCTTCGTCGGTCTTCTCCTGCATTTGTTCTTTGTTGAGGATGACGAAACCGCCCGTCTTGTCCGCTTGGAGAACTCTCAGCTCAGCGGACCGAAGTTCCTTGATAGCTGGGGTGGCAGCATTCTTGGTTTTCCTTGTCTCACCATGGAAGCACACAGCTCTTGACCCTGCCGCTACGAAGTCCTGACGGCTGTCCTCCGGTATCTTGGCGGCGATCTCGTACACCGCGGCCAGCTGGTCGACTTTGGTGTTGGCGACCGCAGGAGCATACTTCGGCCCGTGGGCCAGAAGGCTTTCTGTAGACGGGGATAACTGCACTCCGGACAAGTTGAGGGGGGGTTCTGGTTTGACTCTGGCTGTCACCTCGGTGGATTTTTTCTGATGACGAAGAAAATGATCCCATGAGTTTGATAGCAGGGTGCGGGCTGACTCTTGTAGAAACTTGAAGGACGGCTGACGATTATAGTTTAGTCCCAGATGTTTGGACATCACGGCGGGCAGGAGCTCTTGCATAACGCGGATCTCGCTGGAGATTTCATCCCTGGCGATCTGCATGATTCTGTGATTGGCTTGCCAGTTGCTAGACTGGAACCCCGTGACTTGCTCGATGGCTCCGTGTGGAACTTTCTTGCGGACGAAGTATCCGAGAACCCGTAGACGTAAGCGCAGCATATACATCTTGGAAAGGAAAATTGCAGCTTGAAGGAATTCAACAGGGGCAAACTCTGGGGTTGGTGACATAGGACAAGAACAAACAGGGCTCACGTTGACGATGTAGGGACAGAACGAGCGGGTTGGTATGGATAGTAAACTTGAGGTGCTCCTCCTTTCCACCCCCTTTTCATCCCCCCCTTTTTTTCCTGTATATAAGCAAACTCTTGGTGTTATTAAATGTTGTTGCCAGTTGGAAGTTTGTGTTTGTCCGTCCTTTCTCGTTTTCTTCCTCAAGTTTACTACGCTTCTTTAAAGTCGCAATTGTTTTTATGTAAAGGAAGGGTAATGTAGCTTGTACCGTCCAATACACTGAAGCATCATGTTGCTAACGATCGTGCCGCAGCGTAATTGATGCCGCGGTACGACCGCTGGCAGGTCGTAGCTGTATCAGAAATCCTATGTGCACTCCACCAAAGCGGCACCGAAGATTCATATTTTCGCGCGTGCAGCCGCGCATGCGCACACCTTCCGGATAAGGCGCCGGACGCGACACCTGTCGCGATCAATACCACGCGCTTCAGGCGAGCCCCTTCGGTCCCAACACTACCCAAGTACACTGCACCCGCAGTGAGCGAGTTAGAGATGTCAGAAAAACAAGCGCGAGGCTGCGGATGTACCACAGCTGCTTTTGCACGCGTTCTACTGTGCGTCGGTGCACACGCGACGCGATCCAAATGAAACGGCCGCCATGAAAGGGGTTCCGCCACATATTTGAAAACATTTGAATGTTTTCTATCGCTTGCAAAAATCATTTTTGCAATTAAACTACGCTTGTCGGAATGGTTCTACTATATTTTGTTTAAAAAACACTTTGGTGTTTCTAAAGTGGCAATGATATTAAAACAAAACACAAAGCATTAAAACGTCTTCTACCCGTGCCACACGGGCAACCCGAATGCCATTTACAACGAATGACATTCGTGTGATCGACGAATCGGCCCGCGATTTGTCGCGCGTGGAACGCCCCACGCTCTGAGTGTCGCGCACCGATTGGCCGATCGATCGTTCAAATCTCATTCGTTGTAAATGACATTCGAGTTGCCCGTGTGGCACGGGTATAGGTGTCTCTTAGCCAACGCGCTGCCCCATTAATTCAATTCATATTTATACGGTTTAAATATCGGCCGAAGTGCCCGCAATCTGACGGCAACCGGACAAAAGCTCACCCGTTTTTTCAGACCAGGAAAAAAGCTCACCTCATCTTTTTTTTTGCTACCCCGGGCGAAACACGGGCTGGGATAAAGTGCGGACGCGATGGACATTGCACCATTTTTAAGAGAACTGGCATCACATCCCATGCAAAGGTGTCGACAGATGGTTAAAGGGGTACTCCGCCGTTTTTTTCATAGTCCCTGATTTGCCTAAAAACTTCAGACACATCAACAAACTTCGCTGAACTAGTAACCCAAATATTTGGACAAAATAACCTTTTCTCGCGCAGTTACAGAATTTACAATTTTTGTCCTCATCGTGTTTTTCAAAGTGAAAAGCTCTACTGGCAACATTGAAAGAGCGACGTCATGGGTGGGTAGGAGTTCACTCTTTGGGCCGTAGACTTTGTTCCCAACTGATTACAAACAGTATTATGGTGTCAAATGAATGCTTTTGAAGGTTGCTCCAGCTCTCGTGCAGCAGCACGATACAAATGCTCGGCATAGTTCATTTTTAGACTGCCCGCTCAAACCGCAAGCCAGCCCACCCATGACGTCGGGGCAATGAAACGCGCGGGTATATTCGAATCTTCGTTTTGGCGTCATTTTAATTTGCCGATTTCACAATAACTATTCTGAATTTCGCGATACTAAATAGCATACCAAAAAGAGTAAAGGACGGCGATTTCAAAAATATAGTTAGTTGGGGGGGCTAAAAAAATCGCCGGAGTTCCCCTTTAAGCCATAATAGGCAGAGAAGCAACGACTTGGGACCAAAATTTAGGTCACTTAAAGGGGTACGGAAACGAAGTGACGTGAGCGCGAGCTCTCTTCCTTTCGCTTCAAAGTCGGCCAGCGAGAAGCGCAATGCGTATCGCGCCGGTGACGTCAACAGTTCCTGCACTGCCAAGGGTACCGTAGTTGCGAGCGTTGCCGCTTGATGGCGTCAACGTGTGACGATCTCGCTTAGTAGTAATATCCGAGGACTGTGTACGATCTAGCTTGTCCATAACGTCCTTCGCGACCATACCCGTATTTTATGTGCCACGAGCGTTCGGTTCACCGTGTTAGTTTCACACCGCAAAAGTAGTAGCTCGAGGGAACATGTAAGTAGAAATAACCGTTAGCACCCAGCAATGGCGAGGGGGAGAGTGAACTATCCTCATGAATTATACTATTTACTGGAATTCTTCTTTTTTATCTACCCTCATGAATTATACTATTGAGTTTCCAGGGGTAACTAACTCTTTGGTATGATATTTGGTGGCTAGCGTTCACATGTTCCTGACAAGGTTTCTCAATCATGTCGTATTACACCGACATGATTAGCTACCACCAGCTCGCCTGCACTCTCACCGTCTTTTCACTAAGGTTTCTCACTTGGGGCGCTCCCAGAAGACACAGTTTTTCTTTCGGAAATGGCGTAATGGAGGCGGCACTCGCGCAGTCATCCCCGTGCTAGAGTGTACCCGTGCGCCTCAATAGCCAGAGACTCCAGGATTTCCCTTGTAAGCTGGTTTTTGTGTTTCCGCTATTTCAGAAAGAAAAACTGTATCTCCTGGGAGCACCTCAAGTGAGAAACCTTGTCAGGAACATGTGAACGCTAGCCACCAAATATTATACCGAAGAAGAAGAAGTTACGCCTGGGAATACAATAGTATAATTTATGAGGGTAGATGAAAAAGAAGAATTTTAGTAAATAGTATAATTCATGAGGCTAGATGAAAAAGAAGAATTTCAGTAAGTGGTTGATAGTCCAGCAGCGTGTCTCTCTTTTTATCCACTCCTTGGTTTTTTTTCCTCTACGTTCAGCTGGAAACCTTCAGAACCAGAAGCGTGCTCGCGTCCTGTCGTGCAAAGAGCCTCAACAAGAACGAGCTCACTGTGGCCAACTACGCTTTGGCTTTCTCCGCTAAGGCTTTGCAAACGCGTTCAGGCCTAGGCTAATTCTGCCGGCACGCCGTATTTACGGAGAACGGCGCTGCTCCTATGCCACAAGTGATGTCACGAGAACTTTCACACCATCCACCAGATGTGACTTTGAAATCGTTTCATTAGATTTAAAATTAGTTCTCTTGTGTTTTACAGCGTGATATTAATATTTCCGAGGTGCTACCTGTCCCTAGCCCATATTTACGCAGAAGAATCGGCGCTAAGATTTCGTTTCCATACCCCTTTAAACTTCACGACAAAGACACGCGCACCAAACCTGAGAACAACCGAAGCACGCGTTTGCACGTCGCGCGAGAGCTGAAACCAAGGTGGCTCACTTCGTTTTGGCTCTTTCCACCAAGACGCCTCGGTATTGCGTTCAGGCCTAGGCAATCTATACCAGTGAGCGGACATACCGCTGTGGCGCTGCTTTCAGAGGCATGTTGTCGTCACGACATTCCATTGAAGCTTCATAACCAACTACCAGGTGGTTTTTGATTATCGCTTAATTCACTTTAAAATATGTTTTCTTGCGTTTTCTAGCGCAATATTTATGTTTCTGTGGTTGTGCTGCTACCTGCGTCGTGTTGAAACAAAGAAATGAGCTCCAGAATTTGGTTTCCATACCCCTTTAAACTGACTCTGAGTGGTGCTGATAAGATCAAGCTTGCTTGACTCAAGGTATGCCGGAGCACCCTTGTGCCACGCCCTACCTCGCTTTTTCATTGTGCTTATGTCACGCTAAACGCGCACATAAAGGTTAGGCATAATGTCTCTTCATTACTAATGCATGGGTTTTCTTGGGGTTCAGGGTAATATTTAAAGAGAAGGGCTAAGAAAATTAAATTCATTCCGTCATTGAGCGCCGTGAATGTATTTGAAATCAAGGAGTATCTCAGAGTGTTGTGAAAAGGAAACTGAAGCAAAACTGTAATATACAAACCATTGAGTTGCGAATTTTTAAAAATATTTTCAAGGAACGCGAGTGTGGCCTTTTGGACAGAGGACCAATTTAGAAAGCTGTGCGGGATTTTGGATGGGCTCGCGTTCCTTCCACCACTGTTTGTGCCCGAATGACTAACCTAAATCAAAGAAAAGTCTACCAGTAGCTTCGGCGACCTGCTGGACTACTTTCATTGCACGTATGTCAACGGCCCCTTCCGTTATGCTTCTGCTCCTGCAGCGGCACCCAGAGCGAATTTTCCCCTTTGCCTGACTCTGTGCCGACGACGACCGGAGTTTCCCCCAGAACGGTGGAATATGTACGACGACTCTTCAAAATAAAGACCGGACGGGTTCGTCGAAAGACAATTCGTAACAGGGCAGTTCGTTGCAGGGCAATTGGTCGCATAGGGCAATTCCTTCTAGGGCTATTCGTCGATAGGGCATCTAGTCGGAAACTGGGTTGCTTTTTTTTTAGTTTATATATATTTTTTAGAAAGTTTAGAACGAACTTTTCAATGCTTACAACTTACAGGAATTCGGGAAAGGGGGGAGGGGGGTGGGGGCATGCAACGTGTATGTATAAAAAATAAAAGCTCAGAAGCCTTCCAAGAAAAGGTCGAACACCGCTTTGTTTTCCGCATTCTTTTGGAGTTTCGGAAAAGTCGGAGGCTTTTCTTCTAAACATGCGTGCTGTGTTGTATCCTGTTTGGATTGTTCACGATCCTTTGTCCGGTTTCTATACTCTATTCACCTCAGAGCCTTTTATACTTAAAGGCTCTGAGGTCTGAGGTCTTATCACTCAGAGCCTTGAGTGATAAGTTGGCCTCGCCGGGCCAACTTATCACTCAAGGCCAACAGTTTGAGTGGTTCAGCAGGCGATGCAAATAAAACTCTTTTCGTGAACTGACACCTGTGTGGTTATCCTATCAAAATTACTGAAACATATTTTAACTCGACTGTAGCGTTTACCCACAGAAGTAGACAACGTCTACTGCGAAA